CGGTTCTAGTTTTGAAAGGTTCGAGTTTGCGCGGTATCTTTCTCCTTTCAACGGCTCTCTTCGTGAATGGAGAGGTTTTGATCGGGCGTGTGCGAAACGGGGACTAATATGAGCCGAGTTTGGCAAGAAATTCTATTTCCACGGTTTGCAAAGTGCCTGGGACATCATTAAGTCCGGGAAGGCTTAAATGGGCGCTCGTTGCTCAAAGAACCGAGCTTCGGGCACAATCCGAGAGACCATCCGGTGGATGGTGTATAACGTCTCTGCCCAGCTCTGCACACCGTGAAGAAGTCTCCAGCAGGCAATAAGGGGCAAATTGGTTAGTTTGGACATAAGAAAAGAGGGCCAACGAAGTATTTGGCTGTGATTTTTGCCTTGCTGGAGACTTCTAAATTGTGTTGTTATTGCCAGGATGTAATGTGTCCCGCACGAGTTGAACACGGATTTCCCAGAATGCACTGCGAGAAAGGTTAACAACATGTTTAATATTTGACCATTACAGTGAGACTGTTCTGTTGTTGTGTTTCAGTTTCTACGACGGAGGTGCTGATCTTTGAATAAGCGAGCAACAACGGTGAGTAGCAGGCTTTTTGCCAGGAAAGGTTATGTTACAAAGTCGTGAAAGTGTAGTTGAAGTCAAAGTCTGTGGTTTCGTATAGCGAAGGTTTATTTTTGGTCATGTGTCGAGCGACTCTGGAAATTTACTGTGTCCAAAAAGAGCCGCCGTCCTACTGCACAGGCTGAATTGTCGTTCATTTTCAATTTATTGTTGGCATTGCAAGCTAAATGCTGATCGGATCGCGGAAGAGTAACTATTTTTCCTCAAAGCATGTTAAAGTTCCCGCGCTATAGCACCGTCGCGACGACGAGCGCCGTTTATGCTTGATTGTCTGGAATGTTCGGTACAATGTTTTTAATCTGCTTTATGCACCGGTACGGGCGATTATAAAACCATTGCGGGACGAAACTGATCTAGGGAAAATGATGTAAAAGAGATATATTACTTTTTAAACATGTGTTGAGGAATTTTCTTTAAACAAGGTTTTCCTTTTGTCCTTTTCTTTCAGATGTGGCCGTTGGTTTTACTCGCCACCTCGGAGCTGGAATATTTACTCTCTGAAATGTTTATATTATCTGTGCTCTGCTGTGGTCAAACACGAAGAAAGCGAAGCGAAACGTCTTGTAAGATAACGTTAATTTAAAACTATTTGCTTGACCAGTGTTTAGTCTTCGAAAATCGCCTGTATTGAAACTACATCTCTGTATTTCTCACCTCCTGACCCGTCTTTTGAAATTCAATCCTACGCTCAGTACGGCGATGTAATTGATATGTAACGCAACGTTATTTGGTATCCTGCCCAGAAGTCCCTCAAACGTTAACCCTCAACAAACTGTACTTCTTGTTTGTAACCTTTATCCTTATTTAACCCTAAGCCTTAGCTCAACTTTAGCTATCCACCCTAACCAGCTTAACGTAACACCCTTTTCCTGACAAGGCGAACGTTTAACTCAGTGGATCAACTCATGTGTTATGACCATTGAAATCAGTTGAGACTGCTCGTCTAACCCTAACCCTCCAACCTAACCCTAACCTCCAACTTAACCCTAACCTATTCCTAACCCTAACCTCCAACCTAACCCTAACCTATTCCTAACCCTAACCTCCAACCTAACCCTAACCTATTCCTAACCCTAACCCCCAACCTCGACCTAATCTGATTCTAACCCTAACCTATCCCTAGTCCTTACCCTAACCTAACCCTAACCCCAACCTTAACCTTAACCCTAAAACCCTAACCCTAACTCTTCCTCCCCCTCCCCCCCTCCTGCTCTTACATTTAGTAGTATACAGTAAGGACTAAGTAATAGGTGCTTTTCGAAGTTAGCCTCAAAAGGCTCTTATAAATTTTCTGTTTCTTGGAAATTAAGCTGTTTAGGTTCTCAAACATTCAAGGTTCTTATTTTCTTAAGGAAAAAAGACTTTTTGTAAGAATGTTGGAGGTTTTAAATGTTTGTACAAAATATGCATGTTGTTATGTCTAAATGACTGCAATTTAAGCCAATAGAAACTTTTTTTTTTTTTGCCATTAGAATGATTAGTGGACTTTAAGAACTCCATAGCGATCTGTTTTAACATTTCTACTTCATCTGGTTCTTTCAAAATCTTAGCCTGAAGAATTCTGGTTCTTATCTGTGCCTCTCCTCTGTGTCACTAACCTGACATAATAATGAGTGACACGTGCATGTTTCACTGTACAGTATTTTTCAGATGAAATAAAATACTGATTTGGATTGTTTTTGTTGTATTGGGGGTAATTAGAGACTTAGTGAAAACTATACACTGTAATTTTCAGGGAGTTATAATAACTCCTCTAGTGGGGCTAATTTAACTCCTTACAGTGGAGTTATTTTTCGTGGAGTTATTTTAACTCCAAAAAGGAGTTTAAAGAACTCTTTTTCAGGAGTAAAAGTGACCACAGATTTTGAGGAGTTAAAATAACCCCAAAAAAGGAGTTATCCTGTACCTAAAATTTTTACTCCACTTTCAGAGTTAAATTAACTCCAAAAAGAGTGAAAACAACCCCTTTAAGGAGTACAAGTAACCCCATTTCGGAGTAATTTTAACTCCACGACTGGGAGTAAAAAGAACTCTTTTTCAGGAGTAAAAATGACCCCAAATTCGGAGTTTAATTAGGAGTTAAAATAACCCCAAAAAAGGGGTTATCCTGTACCTAAAATTTTTACTCCATTTTTGGAGTTATAATAACTCCCTAAAAATTACGGTGTGAAGAGTTAGGTCCCTCCAGGAATATTCCACTTCCTCTGCTATCTCTTACTGTACATTCTAAAAGGGTTGCTACGCCGTAAACCGATAACACCATTGCCTTCGATGTAAGATTCCGAAAACCACAGTTTCGGAATTCCACACTGGCATCTTCGCCAACCTGAAGGGTCACCTTTGCAGAAAAGACAATGTTCTGGAAAAAGCACTTTCCTCGCAAAAAATTCTCATTGCAGGTTATACTGACTTCTGAACCATCTTCAAGGGCGGTTAACGTGATGTCCTTGATGTCACTGGTGTCCTTTAAATTGTACTCTCCATTTCGTAAAAGGATAATTTTCTCCTGCGAACATCCTTTCTGGTTCGTTTCTAACGAGCGTTGCAGGGTCAGGGAGGAGTCAATAACCTCCCACTTGCCATTCAGGTCTTTGAACGCGTCTGCGAATGCCTTGTAGTGACGGCAACAGGAGACGTTGTGGTAGTACGCAATGGCTGCAGAGCATAGGGCTGAAGCTTGCAATCCAAGTTCATTCAGCGCCAAGGCTTTCCTTGTGTATCCTTTCCAGCAGGAGGGTAGAATCTTAATATACTCCTCAGAATCTTGAAGACATTCTTGATACTTTCCCAGTTTGAGGTAAGCCGTTGCTCGATTATTTAGAAGGCGTGGATCTAGTTGCTTTCCTTCCCTACTTGCTTCCAGAGCTTCTGTGTATTTTTCGGCTGCTTCTTTGAAAAGGCCTTTTTTGAATAGCGTGTTTCCTTGTAAACGAAGTTCATCTATAAATTCGTTTTGTTCACTTGCGTCTCCTTGGAACTTCGCTGAGCTCTCGTCTGGTTGTCGAGATGAATACAAAAGAGTTTTTTGAATCAAATAAGGAAGGGGCACGGTTAATGGAAATAGTTTAGTCAAATCATTGCCAGAAATTGGCCTCTCAGTACCTGGACAAGAATCAAAAATATGAAATGCAAATCGCTCAGTTTCCTTGGCCTCCGCTTGATGTCCATGAGCACTTAAATGAACGGCATTTTCATAAATAACACGAGACGTCTCATATGTGAAAACGGCTGCTTTGACTTCTCTTTCGATGTTCTGCTGATACAGCAATGCTTTTAAATGCTGTTGCAGCTGGGAAGCATGTGTTGTTAGTTTAGACCACAAAAAAAATCGAGATCTGTTTGTTAAGAACGCAGAAGGTTGTTCTTGTTCAGTTGAAGTGATATAAGAAAGAACCTCGTCAGGCGAAGGGCAATCTTGAAAGGAATAATGAAGAAGTTTTACCGCTGTAAGTATCGATGTGACAGTTTCTTGAATACTCATTTTGTTTCGCATGACTTCCTGAACCAGATGGTGCAATCCAAGGGACCTGGAGCTCTTTCTATGGAAAAGCGAAAACTTGGTCAAAATTTCTACGATCTGATTTTTCACAATCGGAAAGTTACAAATATCATCAGTTGAGAGCACATCACAGTTGATTAAATCTTCCTGAATCTCATTCGGTGCAAAAAATGCTGAAGCTTGAAGAAATCTGGATGCCAATTCTCCTTGAGGTGATTTTTTGACGTACTCAAAGTTTAAAAGCCACGTAGTGTGCACTGCAAGTCGATTCTGAGACTCATACTCCCATGAAGGTTTTTCACGCGGATGCTCACTTAATAACTTTACCCGCTGAATTTTGTACGATTCAAGATAGTCTGCTATCGAGCACTGAAGGGCTTTAATATGTGCCCCAGCTTGTTCCAAAGCAAGAGGAAGACAACCAAGCTCACGCACCAGTTCATCTATCTCCATCTCCTTTCCATCACTGGAGGTTCCACATCGAGCAAGAAGAAAACTCTTGGCTTCCTCTAGTAGGAAGGAGAAAACCTCAACACAACAAGATGGCTCAAGATCCACCGAACTAGACACCTCCTTTGGTTCACGTCTTGTTGTTAGCAAGATATGTCCGCCTGCACGTCTTTTCCACCGACCAGACAAAACCACGTGCATATTTTCAGAGAGGTTTAGTTGGTCGACATCGTCAAGGACCATTAACCAAGGTTTTTGTTGCTTGGAGATCCACGTTAGAAGTTTGGGCAGCGTGAAATCAAATGAATTTGCTTCGATACCTAAACACAAGGCTAAGTCGTTGACAGAGTTCTCAAATTTACTGTCGTCCTCCATGGAGATCCAAAACACACCACCTTCGTATTCGTGTTTACGTTTCCAAGCAAAGTGAGTTGCTAAAGTACTTTTGCCACATCCTCCGAGACCACAAATGGCTGCCATTTTCAATCCGCTGCATTCGTTCAGTGGAAGGAACTTTTCAAGGTTTTTAATTTCCTTTTCTCTTCCTGTAAACCACTTGGTTTCCTCTGGGGCATCAAAGACAATATCACTGAAATCTATTGAATGTGATAAGCTTTTTACGGCTGTTGTTAATAAATCCAAATCCTCCTTCATAAAAACGCTTTTAGCCTCCAGACATTTACAGAGACCTTCCAATTTCTGCGTTGTTTCCCAGCAAATCTTCACATCTTCCGTAATCATTTCTTGCTTTTGTTTCAGATCTTTGCAAGTGATCTCTGTGCAAGCTTGCTGTTCTTCAAGGGACTCAACGGCTCTGTCAAACTCACACTTAAGTAGATTAAGGGTTGCGCATATACGATTATCTTGCTCTTTATGATTATTCAAGGACTCAGAAAGTTGCTGAACGTCCTTGTGTATGAGTTGAAGAAGTGTGTCATCAAGTGGTTTGCCAAGACAAATGTCCTGTCCTGTGAGAAAAGATTGCAGGCAGGTTGTTACGTGATCCCTTCAATACGTGACGCTTAAACACCTCACAGGAATAGTCGTGCAGCTGATGTTCAATCAAAATATCTACCCGCCCTTTTTGTTTTGTTTTGTTTTTTTGCTAAGAAAAATTTCAACCCTTTTGCGACGGGTTGGGGGACGGGGTTAACTACACTCACCAACTTTAAAGTTAACTAACTTCAAAAACGGTCATGCTATGACCCCTATACTTAGCGATGTCTTCTACAATTTATCTGGGAATACTTGAAAGTCTCATTGACGTGTACGTCACGATTATCTTTATTATGGCGACCAAACCTTGACAATCATTTTGTAATACAATTTGTAATACGTTTTTATTTCTAGTCTGATGATAACATTGTTACACGTACCTTATACTTCAATTTAGCATTTCCTTTCAAATTTATTATAGCTGGTAATACGATCTGAGCTTTTGGTACAAAAAAACTAGAAAAGAGAATTTAAATGACCTCATGAACTGAACAATCGTCCCTTCTAGTTCCTTTAAAATTTGAGGAAACTCGACATGATAGACTCTACACGTTCGCCAAATACTTTTTGTTGCTGTTAATCCCGGAGAAGATGAGGTTTCAACACAGGTAGCCCAAGCTCGAAATATGAGCATCGGCGAGCATCAGCATTGTTGCATAACATTCAAAATATAAGGATTTGTATGGGAAAAAAACCTACCGTTTCTGTAACCTACGAAAATGAAAGGATTTCAATAAAAAAAACAGCTTACCTTGCTTAAAATGTGTGTTACGTCTCTCCTGTGTGGTCCACAGGCCGATTTATGGCCGTTTTATGGGTTTTTATGTTTTTATTTCAAACGCCCCGGGCGTCCCCACTCCTTTTTTTTGGATCGCGGCTCCGCCGCCAAAACTTTAATCACCCAATACCGCCAGCTGCGCAGGCTACTGTTTTCCTAGCAAATTATTAAATTGTGTTGTATTGTATTGGATTTCAGTGCATTGCATTGTATTGTATTACTTTGTTACCTTTTGTTCTCCATAATTTAAGCTCATCCAAAATTCGTGCTTCATCAGTTGTAGAAATTCCCAAGTTTGTTACCAAAGCGTCCATGAGGTGAAAACAAGAGTCAAATTGCCCCTCTGTCCAAATTGTGAAGTCGCAATGGGCCCACTCATTACGGACTTTAAATCTCACATCCTCAGCAATCGGTTTGACCGACACGAATGGTGGGGCTCCACAGAGAACTGCAAGGGCTGCTGAAGAGTCGAAGCCGTCGTCAAACGCATTAAACTGAGCCATGAAAGGTTTCATAAACAGCTTGGCCAAAGACACTTCATCCTTTATACGGTAGTCGTAGTGACTATGGTCCGTGGCAGTGTGGTTATTGTTGATACTCTCATAGTTCAAGTTCGCCGTGGACGGTGGAATATTCTTCATGAAAGATGAGAACGTCTGTTTGTCCACCCCAAAGCATCGCACCAAATGTTGGTAAAATGAAATCAATTCAGCTTCGATCTTATCTCTGAGGTATGGAGTAAGGACACAATGAAGAGCAATACCCACCACTAACCACCGGCGCTGCTCCTGGAAGCTTCCTGTTAGGGAAGCCATTTCTTAAGTTATTTATCTTCTCAGAAGTCCGAAACGGTGAATTTCCTACAAATGAAAGTAATATAAATTAAAGGATCAATCAGGTCATGAGAGCGCTTCAAAGAGACCTTTAATGCGAATTAAAGGGTATCAATTTTCCCATAACAAGATGGCAGACTCGGAAAATCATTGCTACTTGGTATTTTTTCCACCCCCCATCATCTTTTGCCATCGGATACTGGTTCATATGGTATACAATTTCTTTGTCTCTTTAATATGCGTATTCTTTTTTCAGCCCGGTTATCATCTGTCCGCTGGACTCCTACCTTTGTGGAAAGCACTGGATCATCAGTTGTTTGCAAAGTATTTAAAAAACTTTACTAGTACTAGTAAACATATTTTTAGCAAAAATCTTTAACAGTGAAAGTTAAAGAAACGAATTTATTAAATTACATACTGTATACTAATAAATGGAAAAAAGGGCAAAAAAGAAATGACTTTTCCGCGAGAAAATGCATTTATTAGTATTTAAATACACTATACTAATAAATGGAAAAACGGGGAAAAAAGAAGTGACTTTTCCGCGAGAAAATGCATTTTATTAGTATTTAAATAACATATACTAATAAATGGAAAAACGGGCAAAAAAGAATTCCCGCAAGCACTAGCTTCCCCGGGACCTTTCTCGGAAAAACAGGATTAAAAGGTTTACGGTACGGCGCGTTACATGAGCTCTTGGTTACGCCGCAATTGTAACTCCTAATAATCTCCTCGAGTGATGTTAGGAATTTATATCGAAGACCCAAATAATTCCGTGATACACAAAACTGAGCAATTTATTACCACAACGTACAAAGGTTAAAAGCAGTGGGCCTTTCAAATATCTCAATCATATTATTTTATAGATTCACCCCCGGCCCTTTATGGGATTTCTTTTTTGGAGAGACCTACTTTACAAATACCCTTTCTTAGAGCATTTCTTTTGAAAGAATTATCTGCGTTTAAATATATAACTCGTTTGTTCCAACATAGATACCCCACCCTCTGACTGTCGATAGCTTTCTGAAATAGTGTGACATTGTTTTTGTTTTTGTTTTGTTTTTTATTACTTTGCCATTGCGTTAACTAGGAGCTGTCAAGTTAACCATTTTTTGATCGGATTACAGATAATTCGCTTTTACGCTTGATAGGTTAGATGTTATTATAGTAAACGGAATGATGTATCAAGTCAATCAACGTTGTCGGTGAACAGGAACAATGAACTGATGTTACCGATGTATTTTAGGTTTGCATGTTCACGCGATATATTCAGGTGTAATCAGCTTTTGTACGGAACGGGTCCTTTTTGGAAATACAGTAGATCACTTTCGAAGGAGTTGGATTTATTATTACTCATTCTCAACACTGACCATCCTCCCCCCAGTCCCCCCTCCCCCCCCCGACTGACAACACTTGCGAACGACACACTTTTCTCCTCGCTCATCGCCGATGAGGGACGTTCCTCAGCGGCGATGAGCGAGGAGAAAAGTCTGCCGTTCGCAGGCTATGGGTCCGATGGGAGTGAAAACCAATTTTTAAAAGATCTATGGAGTCCCGTGAATAGAACAATCAAAGCCGTCTGTTAGTCTGTTTATTTCTCTATCTGAAATTGAAGCGTTTATAACAAATTAAAATATTAGTTAACTCATTAAGAAGCAGCTTTTCAAAGCTATACAAAGGGCGGCTCACCCGAGTTTCGTTCAACTGTTGCCTGACTGTTTGCTATCGATATCGAACGTGAAACGTAAATAATTGCGACATCCGCAAACCTCGAAGTCAGTCCACTTTAAAAGGTTTTAAACCAGTGCGAATTAAAAACCAAATATTTCACAGTTCACTACGTAAATTATGGACAACAAAATGAACTTATTTGATTACCAGATCTAAAAGTAAACAGAAGACGTTGACAAACTATATTAACTCACCAGTGTGTACACTTCGAAGCGTGTTAAGACCGATCTGATTTAAAGAACACGTCATTTCCTTAGCGATTCTATATTTAGGGTGGCTATCACACAAACGTTCTAAAGACAAAAGCAACCCTGTTATTTCGTGAATTCACTATTCAGAGATTTCTCATTTAGCATATTCCTCTTTCTAGGGATTTCACCCCATTAGTTCGCGATTTCGCACTCCCCAAGCGTGGTAGACCTCTACAGTAGTAACTCGCGCCTGAGATAAGAGGAACAGACGAACGAACATGCTGAATTAGAGCCCGGGGGGGGTACTCGCAGAAAAATTGGGTAGGGGTGTGCGGCCCGCTTCCCAAAACCCTTACCCTATTTATGACCAAAATCTGCGATTTTCCCTACCCTATTTATGACCTAACCAAAAATTTGAGACCCTATTTATGACCTGACCCTTAAATCAATACCCTGTTTCAGACCTGCCTTATAATTATTTCCCTAGTTCAGACCAATGTTAAAGGCAATGTTTATCTGCTTTTATTAGGTTAGGGGGACATGATAAGGAAGTAGCTTCTTCTAAAAAAGTGCATTCAAGACTACAGTGCAAAAATCGTTACCCTATTTATGACCAAAATGGCGGCAAAATAGCCAAAATCGATACCCAATTTATGACCAAAACGGCTGAAAAACCCTACCCTTTGGGGCCGCACATACCTATATAGCCCATATTAGGGAGTACCCCCCCCGGGATTAGAGATGGAAGAATTTCACCAAATAAATTCGCATGCGCACCTTACTTTAATGTAAATTTGACTAACCAGTTAGGCAGCTTCTGTATGACCTTTTCTCTTGCCACTGCTTTGATTTCCTCATACAGCTTGTGGTAAATCACGGTCTTTTACGGCCAACTCCTCCACAGCATCAGTCGTGAAAGACGGAATGACGTCTTTCATGCACATCCGGGACATGCGGAGGGGGAGGGAGAGGGGGTCACTTAGAAATTACGATGCCATCTGATTACATGAAAACAATTTAGCCATCTGTTTCAGGAATTCGTCCCGGTTTCCTTGTATTTTTATTCGTTTGGTTTGTATGCTTTTGAGTTTTATCTCTCTATGAATGAAAATAAGAACGGTTTCATAATAACAAAAAAAGCGAAATAACAGTTGCAAAGAAAAGAATCACTATCATTTCAGTAACTCACATGATAGTTCACGAGACCATTTTGTGAGAATCGTAAATAATTGACAAATTGGTGAAGGGTTTAAGAGAAGAAATCAAGAAAAGAATTCTTTTTTTCTGATTGGTATCAATAATTTTTAAGTACTTCACGTTTGTAATGACTTTCCATTTCACTACAATAAAAAAAATTGACGGAAAGCGTCCCTTCAGAGGCCCAAACTAAGTTTTTAATTACACAAGACTTCATTTCAAACAACGTAAAAAGTAAAATATGTTTATCCTCTATCAGAAACGCCAAATTTGCAATGCAAAGTCAATAGGCCATTTGCACCATCGAGTCATTTTACCACTACGTCCAGAATCCTTCAGGGTATTGCTTTCTTGTGCAAATTAACCCTTTTATTATTATTTAAACCTCACTGGGACTACCAAATTTAAATATGAAAGGAAAACCAAAATGAATTCTGGTCTTAGTAGTAAAAAAGCGTCATCGTGCAATTAACCCATTCGTCCCCAATTCGCTTGACCACGTGACATTCAAGAAACCATGAATATACGTTACGGCACAAGACGGCCTCAATGATTGTTAACCATTTACACGGGCAAACCGGTCGGTCCACGGTTTAGGCAAATTAAAATGGTAAGCAAAATTCAGGGCATTTACCGAAAAACAACCGTAGAAACAGCCGCAATGTCTACGGTAGGGTCGATTAGCGGTGTTTTGCGGGAAACAAGACCATTTACGATTTAAGTTTATGTTTTAGGCCGCCGGTTTCCCGGTGTTTGCTGTTTTCAAAGATGAACTCACGACAAGAAAATCGCTCAAAGCTTTCTTTCTACAGCCAAAATTATAACTAAATATTCTTCGGAAAGTTTTTTCTTTCTATTTACGGTGAATTATTATCGAACTTTTCAAAGTTCTGTAAGCTTAAGCTTTTATCAAACCTCATGCTAGCTCAGATCAGTGTCTCAGTCAAATCTTAATACACACGTGCATAAACTAGCTTCATAAACTGCACCGCTGGACTTCATGAAATTGGATATAAATACAATAATTACTCAGGCTTACCATATTTCGAGATGCAGCTCCTGAAAGCTATCAAGTAAGGCAAGGATCGCTTGAGCCTTTATAATTCTCGTACGCATTCAGCAAGGTGAAAAACAATAACGATGCCATCCGAAATCGGATTATCGGCTTTGACAAGCGACGCATTTCTCAACCAAAAACCCAATAAACAAACCAGCCATGAATTAGAGAACACTCTTGATGGCAGCGGTATTTCATTTTTTACATCCAGTGGAAAAAGACAATTAAAAACATCGCAAGTTGACTCAAAACTCTGTCAGCGTCAGCTGTCAAAGTAAACAACTTTCAAGATGTCAAATTTAACCGATCAGAGCATAAAAATTGGACGTGGAGCGTGACCAACACGTGATCATGGTAAGAAAAGGTCTTCCCTGCCTGTATTTTTAAAAAAACTGGCTGAATTTTTGCGTCTGAGGTCCGTTTGAAATCAAAATCGTAATAGTGCGGGGCGATACTGACATAAACACAACATATTTGATATGAATTAAAAAAAGGAAACGTGAGCCTGCGATCATTTGAAAAGGAGTTAATTGTCAGCGGATAACTTCAAAAGAATACTCGACCTCGATGGGTCAACACCTGAGCCCGCAATACGGAAAGGTGATACTGGTCAGCGGATACCCTGTTTTGACAGCTGTCAATTGATGACAACATTGATGTGCAATCAGCTTTCTCCTGGGCTCCCAAAGTAGCTAGAAAGTGTGGGAGTAAACATTGGTATGCCTGTGGTGCGGACGGACGGTCTGTCGCTCGGTCGGTCCCGTGATTACCAAATTTTCTGGATGGGTAGATTTATTTATCCAGGGTGCTCCGCTGGCGCGCTTCGCGCGCGGAGCTGCGCTATAATGAAACCTCCTTATAGCAAACATATACAGTTGGTAGTCCCTTGGCCCTAACTATATCTCAATTTCACTGAATCACAATTTATATATGACCACTATTAAAGTGCACAAAAGTTGGATTTTTTGGTACTTTTATTAAGCCTGACTGTAAGTTAATGCACTACATACAGTACAATGCACACAGTGGCTATGCCTAATACAAACGCTGAGGCTTTCCCATTGTGCTCTTGATATAGAGAGCACGTACATTCTGCCAGTTCTTCTTCAACAGGGACACCAAGAAGTTGACAGCAAGATAGACATTTGCCACAAGTTCATCATGGGACATCTCAACATGACCAATGGCCACAGCAAGACACAAAACCTGCAAGTAATGCAGTAATGATCAGTTACATCAGGACACTACAGCATATGCCACTGTACCCAAAACAGAAGATAATTTCTGTACCAGTTTGAGTCAATGTACCATTGTAGCATGGAACATAATTATGCATGTACTTACTACAGGGTCACATTAATAAGCCCATCCACAAATTATTTATCTTTTTAGGAGAGACATACTTGTGTCTGACAAGGTCATCATTTTACAGGAGCATACCAGAAAAATTATCACATATCCCAATAGAGTCTTAAAGTGTGACGTCGTAAAACATTAACTTTGTTAAATTATGGGATTTTTGGGGGTTTTACGAAAGAACAACATCCAAAAGGCCTATTTGCCAAAAATTAGCATTCCAGGGCAAATTGCCTTTGACATATCAGCGCAGTTATGCTCTGATGACTCCATATAAATCCTTCTAAGTATGACTCAGTTCATAACATTAGGAACCGAGTCAAATTTAGAAGGATTTGTAGGGAGTCATCAGAGCAACATGGGACTAGTATCTCTGGGACAATTTGCCCCACAATGCTAGTTTTGGGCAAGTAGGCCTTTCAGATGTGGTTCTTTCAAAATATCTCAACAAACTCCATAATTTCAAAAATTTAACGTTGATGACATCGTCATTTTAGGACTCTACGTAAGATAATCCAAGACAGTATTTGATTCTGAATTTCAAATTTGTCCGTAGAACTTTGATTCTGGCTTTCAGTCATTAGTGGGATTTGGGATTCCTTGGGCTGAGTTCTGGATTCCAAATCTCAGGAAGTAAAAATTCCCAGCATCCCATAATACTACTGACTACTACTAGTTTGGAGCCAGGTGCACCTCATGTGACACCGAGGTATATATCATGTCTCAACTAAAATAAATGCTGATGTTATCAACCAAGCTTTGCCAAGAGTGATACTTGTTGACTATAAAAGTCTCCCCATGGATTTAAGACCCTGGGTGCAGGTCCGACCAGATGAACAAACAGTTATCTGGTCTTCCAGAAAATAAGGCCTTACCAGTGCTCAAAAGAAATTAATACAAGATTGACTCTTACAATTAAGTTTTCTATTGTGCTTTATTCTGGAATTTGACAATACCTGCTGAACGATGTCATCCACAGTTCCCCACTCCCGAAATTATGGTACGAGCTTTCGGTGACACAAATTCTGGAATGCTTTGAGTGGACAAGCGTTACTTATGGCTGGTTAATGGTTGCCTAAGACACCATCAACCAATCAAAACTAACACTTGCCCATGATCCCAGAAATCGTTGTACCAAAAGCTTGTACCCATTCCCATTTATAGTTTCTTGAGTGGGGAACACAAAGATAAACAAATGACTTGTATATTTTTATTAATTAAAGTACACTGTAAGCAGTGAAGACATAACTACAAGCATCCTGAAGGCTGTGACTTTTACTGTACATTGTACACATATGCCATACCAACTTTACAAATTCCCTGGTTTCTTTGAGCACTGTGCCTTATTTCTGGTGAATATCCTACCTTCTTCATCTGAAACTTTATTGTTGAGCGCACTTCCTCCACCTTCTGCACCATGTTGTCATTATGCGTCAGCGCTGTGGGAAATTTGCCAGCCTTGTTCAGACCAGGACCAAGAATACGAGGAATCTGCCTGATTAGACTGTCTGAAGCCAGGAAAGCATCATATTTCTTGGCTAGAAAAGAGGAATGATGTAAGTGCATGGCGCTTCACTAAGTGCTGTGAATGCAATGAAATAGTTTTTCGCAAATTTAGAGAATACTTGGCCCCTTAACTGCATGTAAAGCATAGCATAAAGAAATTGCCTTCCTCTTTAAATATTTCAAAAGCAAACAAGGATGTCATGAGTTGCCTTTTATTCTGTAGTTACTCAAAACAGTATGCTCTACATTGATTGCAAAACAATAATATGCTTTCTCAAATGGGGATCACCTTAATAAGATGATCAATGTTCCAGAAAACCACGTTAACAACAAATGATTCACCAACTATAGTGCACTGTCACAGCTTAGTGTGAAAATTTACATGCCAAAGAGGAGGGTATATCCTGTGATTGTGAAACCAGAAAAGAAAAACTCTTACCAAGCTTTTTGACCAGTTTCTTGTTTTTGTTTAGCTTCTTTAAAGCTTCAACATCCATGCAAGGGATGTCATTTGCCTTGGCCTCGTCACAGTGAGATGCATCACCCAGAATACAAACCTTAAGTTTGGGTCGTGGAATATACTTGAGCTTTACCGTTCCACTGAAGCGCTTATCCTTCTGAGGATCATAATTCTTTAAGCTGATCTGCAGCTCAACAGTTTCCGTAAACTTTCTTTTCTTGTCCTTGGCACCTTGCAGTACAGCACTGCAGCACTCAAACAGTGTATCACGGTGAAGCTTACTAGGGAAATGGAAATACATGCAAAGCACGAAATGATAATTTGTCCCATTCTTGTTTATTGTTTAAAATCAAGGCATGATGCTAGGACAAAACTGAGCTTACACAACAGGACAGCATAATGAAGAGGACGGTAAGATGTTTGTGAGTGACAAATGTGACAGGGCTATTTGTTTTTCCTATTACTTCTGTGTTTTGTTGTGAGCTTTCCTTAACATCAATGTGTTCTGCTCTTTTACAAAACAAATCTGTTTAAAGGAAGATGAAGTTTGGCGGAAAATTTTTTAAACATACCAGTATTTATTGTCATACTTGTCATAAAAGGTTTGCCATCTTCCTTCATCTGCTGCACTTTTGCATAAGCTCACTAGTGATGATGATTTTGATTAATATAAATTTATTGTGACGATGATGATGATGATGATGATAGACCATGCTTGTTAAACAAATGGTCATCGGGGTTAATTAAAGTACACTTTACTTGAAGATTAACATCCATTTTTCGAGACGAGCTCACCTTTGTTCGTACTTGCTTTACAACTGTTTTTACCCTGTGAGCAGAGGCCCTTGCTCGCAAGGTAAACTGAGTCATGAAGTTATGTCTCATAGTTTACGTCATGCAAAACTATTTTGTCTTTTGGCACTCGAGTTACAAATAAAATTCGATAAAATCGGTCAATGTTTTTCTCTTTCTTTTCTTTTTTTGGCCATCTTTGCCCTCTGTAAATCCTTCCTTTTTTTATCGAGAACGAACAGGGTGTCTTATACCTTGCGAGCAGAGTCACTACGATCTTATCTAGAAAAGATCAAAGATACTCTGCTAACAGTCAGGGTTGTCACTAAGATTTCAAGTTGCCGGGTAAATACAACAAGTAGGCGGGGAATCAAACGGCTAGGGATTTCTTTTGGTCCTGTTTTTCTTCTATTTTCCAATAAAAGTAGCCGGGGGCCACTCTCTTAGTAGCCGGGGAAAATCCCCGGCCCCCAGCTCTTAATGACAACCCTGTAACAGGGTACGTGTCTTGAATCACAATTTATTTATTAATTAAAGACAAGGAAGGTCATATATTAGAAAAATTGTTATCTTGAACACCCATCCGCTTCTATTTTTTAATGCTTATCTATCGATGACAAGCGAGTAGGTTGAAAAGATGAGATTACAACTTCACAAACCTCATGTTGATCACAACGAGCAAAGAGAAAGAGAAGAGAAAGTTGGTGGTAAAGCCCGCTGTCACATTGCGGGCGCTTGATACGTTCTTCTCAACCACAGGTTACCCAAGTGAATCGTCTTTGTTGCGTAACCTTTGAAATGTGTGGAAGCAAAAGAAGGATTGTTTCTGCTTACGGATGTGAAGGGATTTGAACAAAACTCTAGGTGTCCATTTTATAGAGGTGTCTGTCAAGAGAGAGTTGGCTGTAGTCACCGAGCCGGTGAATCGGGGACCATGCAGGAAAGAAACAATCAACCTAGTAATTTACCAGTTACCTTTTGAGTTGTGGTCCTTAACTGTTACCTGCCTTTCCCTCGCCCCCCTCCTCGCGGGTCTCTCGTATCGAGCTCTCGCGCGCCCAAATTTCCCTTTCTTTTTCCCGTTTTAACGCCTGACATGAAGGCTACCGAGATCCGGAATCCTTTGTGGATAATTTACCATCGGCCTCCTACGCTAGCTGCTATACACTAATTGTCAGTCAAACATCACCACAAAATGCCGAAATCGCGCCAAAAGTCGGACGCAAAATCATCTAACGAGGAACAAGAAGAAGTGACCGTTGTGGACAAGGCGGTCGTTGAAGCATCCTCGGAACCCAGGGGGTAGTCATTCAGGTCGGGAGAAAAGGCCCGATTAAAGTTTGCTTGAAAACTTTCTTCGCGCCTTTTCTCCCGACCCGACTGACTGCTCTTGGGTCTTCGAGGATCAGGAGGATGTCGTTGAAGACATAAAAGAAATTTTGGGGAAAAAAATGGCGGGATGGGGGTTTTGTGATTAAATAGTGGCCGCGAGGTACACCAGTCGGTCAGTTTCAGAGGCCTGTATTTCAGCTATTTAATATTTTCCTTTTTTATTGTTTCAGAACAGCAAACTGCCGCTAAATACAAAAAAAGAAAGTGATTTATACAGTGTAATACCAGAATTAAGAAGTAAGTACATGGAATCTAAGCTTCCTTCATCTTTGCAAGAGCTAGTGCCACACACGCTGAATAAAACCTCCTTGGAAATACTGCACCAAAACGGCGACGGCTGAATCGTAGCCAGTGGGTGCGAGGTTAATTTCAATTCATTGTATTTTTTATTTCAGCCTTCGGACAAACATTACACCGTTTTGGAAACTAGTTTCTTCCAGTAAGAATGACCACAGCATAAAGGCATGCAGGTGTCTGGATCGAAAATACTTAATTTTTGCGTCCAAACATGACGCCCAAGGCTCTTGACATCCTTTGGTCGTGGAGTCGCGCTTTCTGTTTTAGAACTCTGAGCTGTTCTTGAACTGCTTTATTTTGAGGGTCGAGTGTCAAAGCCTAAAATCAATCAAACCAGGAAAAAGAAAGTTAAAGAAATACGTGCATAATGATACCTCAGTAACTAACTGACCTTCTAAGATTAGAAAGGGCGTCAGGCCGGGTCTCTGATTAACAGAAACTACCAAAGTTTAAAGAAATGGCATATGATTCCATTCTAACCCCCCCGCATTAAAACATTTCTCGTTAGATCAATGACCAAATAGATAGATTGACAGATAGATAGATGCTTGTTTATTTTACCCAATTGCAGCATTGACTGAATTGCTGGGTAGGCCAGCAATAAGTAAGCATGTACAGTTACACAATATGTTGATATTTGACAGTAGCAATTTTAGTCCGCCCGGGTACGGGTCTCGGATTGCGGAAACGAAGAAAGCCAATAACCTTTTCTTTTTCTTTTCCTGTACATTTCTTTTCATCATGTCGCGTTCTGAAGCGTATATGTGTTGATATCTACAGCAATGACAGGCAAATAACTTGGTGCGAACCTAAACTGAAGTATCATCAACATATAAATTTCAACCTATAACGCCAATCTCCACACAAATTAGTAACTAGGATCGCAAAAAGAAATGGAGCTAATTTCGTTCCTTGTGGGATCCCTCCACGGTCTTACTCGCTGCACTCGACCTGTCAAATTAAAAGATCTGATCCAGCGAATGATAGCTATAGCTTCGTGTACGCTTAGGAGCTGCAACTCTCGAACCAGCATGTTGTGGTCCACCAAGTAGAATCCTTTGCTGAAATGAGCAAAGAATACACGAACGTAGGTATTGCCTTGGTCAAGGGACTGAAGGAGGGCGTGGAGAAAATAAACAAGAGCGTGCGTGGGTGGTAGATTTTTCCGCCGGTGCAAATCGGTAAACAACAAGTTTATCGCAGACCTGATTCAAAAGGGTAGACAGTGTAAAGCCGTCCACGATCTTTGCGAGGTGCGACATAAGCGAAATTGGACGTAGATCAGGATCTAGCTGTTCGACGGATTTTGGCGGAGAGCACTTTGGCACCGGGACAACATCCGACTGTTTGAGGGGTTCGGGCACATAACCTTCAATTATCGATTGATTGATTGATTGATTGATCGATCGATCGATCGATCTAAATGAATTTGTTCTTTAACGATAGTATGATCTATCAAACTTTCCTTTCTGTCGGCTACCAAATTTTAAACGGACAAACCTCACGATAGATCAGTGGGAACAGGAAACGCTCAGAATGAAACATCTATGATGCCATCGCTGTTACCTTTTCTAAGTCTTCCCTTGCCTTCTCAAATTCATTTAACACCACAAATGCCTGTAAAGTGTCATGAACAAAATTGAATCATTAAACATAATATAATTATTAAATATTAATGAATTACATGGTATGAACTGCTATGTTTATTAAATTTAAACATCTTTGTGGCATAATTACCGGCGGATCACACTCTGCATTTACAGTAATTTTTCTTAAAACTCTGTACTAATACCTGTACATTTTTACCATTTTACCTGTCCTCTCCTGAACAATGCTTTGATGTTTGTCGGCAGCATTGCAAGAACCTACAGGGTGACAAAAAAAAATAGAAGTAATGTGAGAGATATATCGATGCTTCTTCCTAAAATTAATATTCACTGACATCATCATCATACCTATAATAAATTAATGACATTGTAAAGGCTTAAATATTATGATATATCATGCTAAAATGAGGGCTCGAAACAGTCCCATCTTATCGTCCAGGACAAGTAGGTTTTTTTACTGGGAAAGAAACTGTTTAAGCTCACTTGTCCAATGGACATAGGGTCCAGGCAGATCGTCTTCCAGCTATTAAAAAATCATTATCTATAAAGACAAGCAATTAGTTACTCTGGGCAAGCAAAGCGTGAGAGTTTTTGTTTTTGTCTCTTCTTTTGCATAAAATTACATGCACTCATCAATTTCCCGTTTTCACCTCATTTCCACAAGAAAGGTTGGGCACCTAGCCTCATTTTGAAAGTGAAAGTTTTTGGAACTCGGAAGTGGCCTTAGCTATTGCATTTGTACTGCCTCGAGCTATTAACATAAAGTATCATTCTCATATAAAAACTCTAAAAGACGCTATGTTTATCAACTCTAACCTTTGTGCAGTTTTGTGCAACAAATTCGTACTGTTCCATTTTTCCTTGACATGCTGATAAATTTAGAAGGCATGAAACTCTAAGCTGGTCATACTCTTCTCTGCAATTCTCTGGTAGCTGATCACCAATTAAGATCAGTTGCTTCAGAGCTTGGCTGTAGCGTCTGGCTGCACACAGCCACTTACTTGCCTAAAAAATATGTTGACGAGGAAATAATCAAGCACTCAGAAAACTTGGCTCAGGTAATGATATTATTTCAAACCTCTCAAACCCTTTTTGTTCCCTTTTTACTAATTATGCATGTAGTGCAACAAAAAAGGGGAGGCACAAGGCCAGTGGACTAAAATTAAACCTGAGTTTACATAAATATAGTTACACTTTACATATTTCCCTAGTAGAGGATCTTATTTAAGAAATAATCACTATAGACAAAAAAAAAATAATAATAACAAATCAAATAGAAAAATTTTTAGTGTCAACATCCATCCTAACAGGTGCACACAATGATTACAGGTACTGTATATATATAAAAAATAAATGGACAACTATTCAGGACTATATAACATGAGATCAGCCAAACCCTGACACATTCAGACTACAGTTACATGTATTTACATGTATCAGAAAAAAGGCGGGTTTGGTATTAATACACATGTAGGACATGTATGCCTTTTCCAACCAGAATACAGCCACACCTAACAGAAAATGTGGGTCTCAGAAACTTTTCACCCACTCTTGAAATCTCACAAAAAAAATGCTATATGTAATGATGAGTTCTTGTTGTTGTTTTTGGTTTGTTTTTGTGTGACTTTGTTTTTTATTTATTGCTTGTTTGCTTTTTCTTTTAATTTAGTTTCCTTTTTGTAAGGTTAATTTCTTGCAAGGTCTTTGTTTGAGTGTCTGAGCAAGTCTTGGGTTCATCATTCACCCCTTGGTACCCCTACATCGACATAAATGTGGGTTATGGATTTTTGACATGATAAGATTAATCATTTACTCCACCATAATAAGGAGAATTTATAAAATGTGTTAAACTATGAACAACTGAACCATAACTACTACTGACACTTATTCAGGGTTTTCATTAAGAATTCTAGTAACAGGAGAAGTGTTGCCACGCTCATCCCCACTATAACATTGCGTGACGACACTAACGGCTGTGTAGCAGACTAGAGAAATGTAACGTTACAGGAGAGTATTTTAAAAGAGGATCCACATCTGAATATAATATAATCATAGGCTATCAAACATTTGCCAGAGAATTAAGCCTTATTAACAGAGAATTCTCCAATCTCCAGTGCCTAATGAACCCTCTCCTTATTGTTCAGTTGACCTTAAAACAATCTGTTCCTTTGGTTTTATGATGTTTGGCCAATGTCACTTTTTCCTCTGGGGAAGTTTCCCAAGGCTCCTTTGCCTGTAACAGATTCAAAGGGAAAACTTATGCAAGATTGGTACATACAGTCACATCATAAGTTTACCTAAGGAGAAATAATGAATTTCATCCAAATCAAATATAAGATGTTTTGAACACTCCAATAATTTTTGGAAATATATATAATTTACCTGTTTTACTTATTTTATCAGCTTTGCCTTATACATGATTCACAAAAAAAGAAGGATAATAGATGCATTACACAAAATAAAGAATTAAAAAACACATAATTTGGTAGGGGTCATGCCTTAATTTTCAGCCTTAAGCTAATTACAGTGGTCCCAGGGCTGGAAAAACATGTATAATACAGTACTGCGACATATGATATGTCGCATGATGATGCTATAGATCAATTAAAGACAGCAGTGGAGATTTATATGGACGGGCAGATTACATGAAATGATGCTCAACTTTTACTTTTTATACTATGATGATGATACTATGATGATGATGATGATGATGATGATACTATGATGATGATGTATACATGTAAGTAAACGACAGTTGATTATTGGCATCTGCAGGTCACATACCCTACAGAAAGAAAGAAGCTGAATTTCACATTGTAGACCACTCTCAGAAGAGACACTTTTCTCTTTGTCAGCAGTATCACTGGTGTATGGTATAACACAGACTTCACTGGTATGCATACATTCTAAGCATCTATCCAAGGACTCTGACACTTCACTGTCCCCTATAAAACCAGGAATTTTAAACTCTTTAGGAAGCGATCATTTAGTTTACACTCCCTTTCTCTCCACCACCTTATGACAAGGGTAAAAGACCTTGCTTGCAGGGTAAGGTATTCACAATATTTTTGTAGGTGACTGGTCATAATCTGATAAGCCAAAGTATAAAATTCACTAAACCATTCAAATTTATAAATAATAATTGCACTATACAATTTAAGTTCTATCGGAGAGGCTTCAAATGACTGGCGACATGTACCACAGCGCAGGATTTTGATCATGATAGATACCATAGTCTTGTCATAACTTGGTCTTGTAAAAGGAGGGTTTGAAATTTGAAGTGGCTGGGGAGGGCTTGCACTCAGGTGCAAATTGAGGGTGAAGGTCCATGATCTTTATGCAGTGAAAAAGAGAGGGAGCACATAAGTTAATGCATGCATTGGCAAACATCGTCAAACATTAATATGGTCTAAATCTCAAAAATGTGAACTTTGAACAACATCAATTATTTAATATTCTATCAAACTGAACAGGCAACATCATTTTTAAGACAGTGGGTGGAGATGGGGGAGGGGCAGTAAACAAAGTGCTCCGCAAGGTGGAAGGTCAGGAGAATTGAAACATATGCTCATGCCAACTCTCCCGGATTATCCAGTAGTCTCCTGGACGCGGCAGTGATCTCCCACTCTCCAATGTGGGTCACAAAATCTCCCAGATAGAATGGACTTTTGACCTTTTGTGGACTTTGGTTTGAAATTTAGCCCATGATTTTTTTCTCAAAATTCAAACTTTTTTAATTTATTGTACAGTCTCTGGGACATTAGTCACTCTGAGAAATATTATTTTGCCGTTACTATGATGAAAGCGAATTTTGATAATAAGTACTTCATGTAAGACTTCATATAATGTCCTAATTAGTGGGCTGTGGGGTGCATTTACATTGGGGGGGGTAGTGGGTAGTGAAAAAAAGAGAGTCACCAGATTTTACATAGATCTCTGGAGGTTGGCACCTTTGTCATGCCTCTATTCTCCATAGACAAGACAAGACAAGACAGAGTCTTGGAGTCTTATACAGTCCTATGTGCATCGAATTTGCACATTGCACACTAGTGGGACTATAATCCACGTTAACCTAAAGAACAAATGATCTTCTTTTCTCATAGCAGTTGAATACGTATTTTGCAATTAACTCTTGTACTCAGTGGTTTGTTCTTGCTCCGAGGGTCTATTAACAACAGAAAAACATCATCTGGTGCCATTCTGTTTACTGATGTTCTGTATTCTTTGTTTAAGTATTCAAATAAAGTACTACTTTTTTCTTGATACGCAGGGCACAGAGTTAAAAAATGTATTTCATCTTCTACCTCTTTTTTACAGATAGGACAGATCCTCTCTTCCGGTTCTTATAAGGTCTTACATACCGACCATCGTGTCTCTTATCGCCAATTTGTGATTACTTAGATGGAGTTTAGTTAGAGTTATCCGGTGTCGGATGTTGGTGACCTGACGGAGATAATCTCCACTTTTATAATTATAATTTTCTATATGCACTAGTAACCTCGCCCCCCAAATAACGACAGGTTTCTATTTTACTCCCAAGTGCTATTATTCGAGATACTCCCTATTCGCTAACAACCAATCAGGGTTCCGTTCTCTACATAGTACGCTCACGGCTTTGCTTGAGGCAACAAATGCTTGGTCAGTAAACATCGACAATGGCCTTCTAAATGGCGTTGTCTTTATTGACCTTACTAAGGCATTCGACACCATTGATCATGAGATCATCTTGCGTAAGATGTCGTACTTGGGTGTCGATCAGGCAGCTATAAAATGGTTCTCGTCGTACTTAAGTGGCGAACCCAAAGATGTAATGTCAGTGGCAAACTATCATCTGCTCGTTACCCTCAGTTGCGGCGTGCCGCAGGGTAGCATATTGGGTCCTTTGCTATTTTTAATTTACATTAATGATCTTCCCAACTCCCTGCGGGCGCCCGTACCAAGAATGTTTGCCGGCGACACCAACCTTACGTTATCTGCTAAGACGTTAACAGAGCTTAAGCTAGCTCTAACCCCTGAATTAAATAACCTTAGCTGTTGGCTGAAAGCTAACAAGCTCAGTCTAAATATTGCTAAAACAGAGCTAATGATTATTGGATCAAGACAAAGACTATCTGCCCAATGTGACGATGTAGAAATCAGAATTGATGACCAAATTATTAAGAGAGTCGATCATACCAAATCCTTGGGTCTTACCATAGATGCTCAACTCTCTTGGGGTAAACACGTTGAAGAGATTTGCAAGAAAGTCTCTTCAGCTATAGGCGCCCCCTAAAACGTGTGCGGCCCTTTATATCCAAAGAAACTGCAATTCAAATTTATAACGCTTTAATTATGCCTCATTTTGATTACTGCAGCCCCGTCTGGGACTGTTTGAGTGGTTACTTGAGTGATAAGCTCCAAAAATTACAGAATCGTGCAGCCAGAGTTGTTACTAAATCACCCTTTGATGCGAGCTCAAACCACCTTCTCTCCACCCTCAGCTGGGAGAGGCTATCTCTTCGACGAAAGAAACAAAAAGCCGTAATGATGTATAAAACCATGAATGACCTTGCTCCAGAATATCTGCAAAGTCTTTTCTCTCAGCGTCACTCTGCTTACAACTTAAGAAACTCTGAGGGAAGGCTGACCTTGTCCAAACCAAGCACCAATTATTTGAAACGAAGCTTCTCTTACAGCGGGGCCATGTTATGGAATAACTTGCCCAATAACTTAAAAAACGCTGCATCCGTTGAGCATTTTAAGCGAAATATCAAGAAGGTAGCTGATATATCGGATTCCCACACGGCAATCATGTAAAGCAGTTGTAATTAGTTTTAGTTTTTAACTTAAGCTTAACTGATGATTTCCCGTGTTTAAATAAAGATTTACATACAACTAATACCTACAGCGCTGTAGATCTAAGGTGTGCCCCTGACCTCCATCCTCAAATCAAAATTCAAAATCAGCACTTTGGGGTTGGCCCAAAGAAAGATTGAAGTCTCACAGCTGATTTAATTATCTCAAGTAACTTAATATCATTTTCAGATCTAGATATAGAGCTAGGCTTGCATTCCGGTTTATTGACAAGACGTACAGTAATATAAGTAAAAGAAGTGATACTCACCTTCACCGATAACTATCTTCTTCTCGTACTCCTGAATTACACTTTCATCTTGACGAAAAACTTTCAGTTTCACTGCAAAACCAGTACATGCAGAGTGTAGGTCTACTAGCTCATATTATATCGGTACGCTGAGGCAAAAAAAATCCAGGAGAAAAGAAGATCGTTACCTTTACAAGAAGAACCATAATTAGGCGTTTCTAAACCGGTTCCTTTTCGAACAACAGTTCTTGAAGCTCCTGTCGCAGAAATGTCAACCATGATAATCCGCCATATTGAAAGTTAAGAAAGCTCGGCGATGATTGGCTAGCAGATCATCGCTGGGCCAATCATAAGACAGTATTCCAGCTGAATCTGCAGACTTCTTTTGGTCACGAAGCGTGCAGAGGTTGTGGTCTTTCTTCTGTAGATTTCATATGGCTAAAGCAATTGGAAATCGCGGAAATGGTCCGTTATTTGGAATTTGAACATATTTTTAAACATCCTTTTGAGAAAGTTATTCGTGCATACTTCCAAAAGGTAAGCGCTGGATCGGTCATCGATGGTAATTGATTTCGTCGTGAAGAAATAAGCTTAATATATAAGCTTGGTCAATAATTGAGGGTGCGTTTAATATCGGTGGGGAAAACTAGTCTGCTAAGCCAAGTGATAAACTTTTTCCCATGTTAACTAATTGTACCAACTGGTAGACATTTTATTTAGGCCTGTAATACAAGGTCACTTGGTAAGACAAGAACAATTACCAATGTAAGCCTATTGCTTCAGCTGATTTCCTCCCTAGAGCTCTTACAACATCAGCTACAGCTGTTTCGGATACACGAGACCTGCGATGTCAAGAACGTCTTTGGATTTTGGGTGCTATGTTAACGGTTTGATTGACGTCGGAAAAAAGTCAACGTCCTGAAACGTTTCGCGTTTTATCCGAAACACTAGAGCTGTTTAAATGAAATAAAGCTCTATTCAAATTAGCCCTTTGGTCTTTGTCCGTTGTCATAGGTTACTTGAAAAATCAACAAAATAACATTATTGAAAGAATTACTACTAAATTCGTTGTACCGCGCTGCACGTTTTGTAAACTTCGAAGAGATTTTGGGTTTTTGTATTCCGTCAATCATTTGAGTGGGGGTGGGGTACCCAGTTAATGCAAATTGTAATGGGCACTTTCCATTTAGTCAACATTTCCGGAATTTCCAGTTAGGCGGTAACTGGAACATGTTTTGTCGGTTCATCCCATTGGAAAATTCCCAGAAAAAGTGGAAAATCTAAAAAGGTGGGCCCGTTTTCCCAGTTGCAATTTGCGAACAGAATTTTGTCTTCCATTTACACATTTCTCGTAGTTTGTACCAGTTCCAGGTCCATGGTCGGGCACTGCGACTTACCGGGGTTTACTACCAAATGAAACAACTTTTTACCAGGCAGAAATTCCACCTTTGCTCCCACCGAAATTTCCGTTTTTTTTCCTAAATGGAGAGTGCCCAACGCTTGAACATGTTGCCGAGCTTGACCTGCAAATTAAAACAAAACTGAAAATGGCAAAGAGAATTGCGATGGTGAGTGGAATTTTTCTCAAGGGAAGGAGGCAGACATTGCTATATTCCTTCAAATGACAATAAAAAGAAAGATCAGAAATAAAGTTTGAAGCAAACTAGTCGATTATAGCCCGAAACAGGATGATCACAAGCAGCGAACCTTGAAACACAGAAAAAAACCAAAAGGATCAAAATCCACCAATCACAAATAACAAACTAAGATCTTTTGAACTCGTTCAAGTAAACTTGTTTCCTAAGAAGTCCGCTAAGATGATTGACGGGACAGGAAAGCCCAAAATTCCTTTAGAGTTTGCAACCTACGCAGCACAATACAACAAATTTGACAGTAACTATCCAGCCCTTATAGTCTTTCCAGTCCAGCTGGTCTGATGACATGACCTTAGGTGTTGAATTTTTATTTATTTTTCATTCCCGCACAGTACACAAGTGGTAAAGATAGCAATGTGACGTCAATAAGAGTTGTGGAACACAAAGTAGGTAGGTGCACATTGTCAATGGTAGTTTTTCTGATCACTTTCAATCACTGGATATCATCCTTAAAATAAAACACCTTTGAACAACTATATATTTGATGACAGTGGTCTCAGCACTTTTGTTGCTATAGGCCTTTTGCATTAGTTGATTCCGGAGTTGATCACCTGATCAACTTTTGGTAAACACGAAAACAGTGTGCTTTGGAAAACTTTTGCTAGCACGAGCTGAATGAGCATATTAAAATTAGGTGACCTAAAAATTTTGAGCCATATATCCCAGAAGCAGCAATTGCAACCGCCGGCAAAAAATAGAAGGATTTGTATGAGAAAAACAACTCTTCCCACCCAGTCATGCTTGAGTGGTTTTTCATACAACTCCTTGTAAATTCTGAAATTTTTAAACTGTCTTTTAAGCTTTTTCTTACGCATTTAAGGGCTCAAAGTGCCTGTTATTAATTAAAAGGACATTTGAGCCCAGTAAGTTGTTATTTTAAGGAAATACCGTAAAATTCTGAAAATAAGCCCCTCCATGTATAAGCCCCTCCAAATATGAGCCCCCCAATCCGGTAATGCAAAAAACCCTCCGTTAAATCGCCCCTCCAAATATAAGCCCTCCGGGGGCTTGTACTTGGAAAATTACCCTCAAATACAAAGTAAAACAAAGCAAAAACGGTAAATTTACGTCCAACTATATGGCTAGCCCAATCGATTTAGAAACGCGAATTTCCCTCTGTAAATAAGCCCCTCCGAATATAAGCCCCTCCAAAAATAAGTCCCTCGAAAAGAGCCTTTGAAAAATATAAGCCCCGGGGCTTATTTTCGGAATTTTATGGTATTTTGCGACAATTTGAAAATTTCAGAATTTAAAAAGATTTGTATGGAAAACCATTCAAGGGTGAATGAGGGGCAAATTTTCTTTTTCTCATGCAAATCCTTCTAATTTTTGGCGGCCGTTGCAACCTCTACTTTTGAGATATACATGTACGGCTGAAAATATACTGGTTACCTAATTTTAATATGCTCATTCGGCTCGTGCCAGCAAAATTTTTCCAAAGTGAACTGTTTTCGTGTTTACCGAAAGTTGATTAGGTCTCCCATATGTCACCAAAGTTAATATTAACCAGAAGGCCAGGGAAATGCTCTACATGAAATAGGCCAGGTTATCATGAAATGTGGCTTAGCAGGTCTGATTTTGAGTTTATTAGGGAGTAGTTTAAGATACCATGACTGCCCCTGTGGTTAAGATGTCACGGAAAAGGTGAATTCACATTGTTTGAAAATTCACCTTGGTCACTTATTACACTGAATTTTTACATTTTGAATCAATTATTATAAAATTTGTATTAAATTGGCTGTTTTTATTCTGACTTACAGTATGTTGTTACTAGTGCAAATTTACATTCATTTGTACAGACCTGCGAGTGAGTTTCATGTGCCTTTTGTTTCTTCTCTTAGACCCAGAAACTGGTGAGGAGTATATGATCAGAAGAGGGGAATGCGTTAATGTTTTACCAGGCATTTTAAAAAAGGTACAAGTACAAATTTGAAGGGTCAACACTGGTAGAAGTGACAAGTTTGAATATATATTTTAAAACAAAGTAATTTAATAAAGGCTTTGTTGCACTTCTAAACTGTATCTAGAGGAAATAGGACATTATGTTTATCACCTAGTGATATTATTTTGCTTTTATGAAGCAAAATGATATTGTATACACATGTACATGCAACAGCAGTTAGTCAACCAAACTGCACACATGTAAGGTCAGCCTCAGGAATGAAACAATACATCATAGTCTATATAGGCTGGTCAACAGTTGACCTGGTAACACTTCACCTAAGTCAGCTTTCAGACAAAGGTTTATGATTTGATATCAGTAAAAATGTAGGTCAACAAAAAAAAAAAACAGTGACTTACACATTATCAAAGAAAGAATAATGGTAACATTTTATATTGTACAGTATAATAATATTGTAATAAACACCTCTTTTCTCTACTTCATTAATATTCCTGAATATTGATAATTATTATTTCCCTTTTGAATGTGAAAATTTATAAGAATGGGCTTGCATTGGTTCTCTACATTGTATTTTAATTCCTACTTTGAAAGCTAGAATTCACCTACAGTAGAACAAGCATGATATACTTTTCATAAAAATACATTTCTCGAATAATTACGTAGGTCTGTCCATACCCAGCACTTGAAGTTGAAGAGGAAGTGTGGTTAAACAAAAAAGAGAAATGTCTCCATCTTCACTGTTACAACTTGACATGGTCAAAGTATGCTTTTCTTGAAGAGTACAGCTGCTATCGAGCATGTGACAGCAACCCAGACTGGTTAGTCCTGTTAGCCACTATTAAAGCAATCTTATTTCAATTTTTACATGTATCTTAGTTTACTGTATAACTTTAGCTAGCAGCTGGGCCTGGTTTGCAAGCATTTTCTCTAGTGCATTATCTCAGCCCAGATTGCAAACAATACAGTCAGCCAGAAGCCGCCAACACATCTAAATCATCAGCTAAGACAAGCAAGTAATTGCCCTAGGCAGCAAACTGTAAGAGCCAGTTGCCTAAAGGACATGCTGGAATTCAAGACTTTTTTTTTCCAAGCACTGCTGCAATTATTTGAATTTCTTTTTATATTTCTTGGTAATGTGTGGAGGTCTCTTACTGTATCATTAAATGGAAAAATTAATTGCTAAAAATGACCTCACCTTTAAACTGAAGATTGGAAAAACATAATTTCTGAACATGTCTTGCAATCAATTAGTTGAAATAAGCTAGTGATTTTCATCTCTACATAGGGAAGAAAATAATAATCGCCGAGGATATAACAGCAGACATTAATATTTTTGTGGCATTTTCAGGACATTATTTGAGCAGCGAGCTAGTATCAATGTCTACGGTGTTGGTTCAGTAATTGGCGGAATGTTTGAAGCCTTTGGACAAAGGTTCTTTCAACATGGGGCTAAAAAGGTAAATTTTTTGTGAAATTTTTCCATTAATTGCTGCCTGAAACGTCAAGTTTGCTTGTCAACGACCCAGTTTTCTTCAGTGATTTTGTTTTTGTTCTAATTTTTTTTTGTTTTTCGTTTTTGCTTCATGTTTACTTTCTACACATGAATTGAAAGGTTAAAATCCATTTGCTACAGTTTTGGCTGAAATTAGATCCTGTATGAGTGCACTTTCAATTGTTTTTAATCTTTGGAACCATATCCCTTAACAAAATTTCTACCCTGTAACAGCTCTGTAGCATCACTGGAACAGGGTTGTAAAACTAACCTGTGACAACCCTGTCACAGCTCGTCATTTGGCACAGTTAGCAAGGCTGTTTCTACACTGTAGCAGCCTTGGAACAGCCCTGTCACGTTTAACTCGAAATTTCTTGGTAGACACCCTGTAACAGCCATGTTACAACCCTGTTTCCACCCTGCGATGGACATCCCTGCCACAGCTCGTGAATTGGCACAGTTAGCAAGGCTGTTTTTACACTGTGGCATTCCTTTAACAGCCTTGGTACAGGTTTCATGCATCACAACCCTGTTACAACTTGTTAACTGGCAGTTAACAAGGCTGTTTTTTTTTTTACCGGGTGCCAATGTTGTGATACTCCCTCTCACACAATCTACACTTTAGACAGCAGCCGTTTAACTTCTATACATTAGGATTATAGTACTATCAGAACATAATTTTTTATAACTTCATATCTATTAAAGATGAAACTTCATCTTTTTTAGGCGTATTTGAACTCATGAAAATTCCTGAAGCAAAGGAACGATTTGCGCCACAAAAAGCTTCAAAGTTGAACCACCAATGGCTGGTTTAGTCCGTTTAGTCACAAAGCACTTAAAACAAAAGCAATGCATTTCAACAATGATGCATTGAAAGAACACTTTCAATAAAGGAAAATACTAAATACAGTCAATAAAGAACTTAACGTTACTTTATTTTTCACGTGCCCATGTTACAGTGTGTAAAAATATAAACAGAACGAAATTTGAACAGCATACAACAGTCTGATCTGGCTTGTAAATACTTGGTCATAGTTGCTCGATTTAATGTACAACTAGCACATCAAAATGCCGACTTTACAACAACTGTCTCAAAAAACAAAAAAACGATTTTTGTCAGCAATTATTTAGAGATGAAACGCGGAACTGTTCCATTGTAACAACGGTTCCGAGGTTGACACTTATAATAATTCTTTTGTTTGGGTTGCAACAAGCTTAATTTGAAATCGCTCACCTCGATCGTCTTTCCTTCATGATCCACAATGTGTTACATTTCCTCATGAAAAGAGCCAATCCATTTGTGTTTCAGTTGTTGCTGAATTGTTCAATGGTGTACGAAATGAACTTGCGTTATTACTAGGCAGGGCAAACAATCTTTGAATCTTGCAAGTGCAGCGGAATGTTTTCTGTCCACTAGATCGATCTGTTTCCCATTCGTCGAAAGCACAGTTATTTTTTTGCTAATACTTTTTCACTCTCTGCTTCAAAAGCAGTAAAAAATGCTCTACAGCCTTTTTCAATCCAAACTGGATGCAGAAAACGTTTGAATATTTTCCCCTTTCATTCAAATAATCGTGAGTCGTTTCAGGAATGGAGATATGTAATGCGATCTTCCGGTAAAAGTGCTGACCAATAAGATTAAGGTCTTGGATTTCTCCAGGGAATTCCCGATGGCGTGTGTCTGTCACGGAATGAAAATATTTAATGCCATACTTGCAGAGGTCTCTCAGGTAGGAACACAAATTGAAGTGATCTGAAAGTCTTTCATTTTTAGTACATTGCTGTAAAAAATTAAGTTACAGCGGTTTTTTTTATTATTTAAAAGAACAGGAAGAACGGGAGCTGATGAAATCATAAGAAGGTCTTCGTTTTTAACATGAGATAAAAGTCTAAAAAGAAAGCAACTTCAAACTACAAAGGTAGCCACAACATCGGTAATTAATTGATGTAAGTATCAATGAAAAAAAAAAAAAAAGAAAAAAACGAAGCAAATCCAAACAAAACCAAAAACAGCATACTAAAAGGTGTACAATAATCGTGTTTGATGATTTAGCGATACCATTTTCACCAAGTTCTTTTTCGTTTTATTTGTATTAATGATCTAGCTGACCCTCACTCCTTTTAACACTTTAGACTTTGAAAAATTTTGCCATCTTTCATGATTTATGGAGTTTACCGTACTTGGCTACATTGTTACTGCCCTTTGATTATTTTCCACTGTGTGAACAGAAATAGACATCTCACAGCTCTGTAGTAACCCGGTTACTGTCAAATGTACCTAACACAGCCGTTCTGCATCCCTGTCCTAGTTCTTCTGCATTACTAGGTAGCCCTGTCTTAACCCTGTTACGGTAACTGGATATTTTCACAGCCATGTAACAGGCTTGTTACACTTAACTATGTACACTTTTACAGCCCTGTCACAGCTCCACTTGTTTTAACTCAAGTAAGTTGCAGCTGTGTTACAGCCCTGTTACAGCCAGTTTACAGCCCTGAAATAATGCAAACAGGGCTGGAAACAGGATGTTACAGGGCTCTCACAGGGTTTTTGCAGGGTAGAATTTTTTCTAAGGGATATTACACATCCCGTCTAACAACAAACACCACTTGACTGAATAATGGCAATCCCAAAATTTCTGGGAGCTTTGAAGTTTTTATCAATTACACTTTTTGCTCACAGATACAGAACTGTAGTTACATTTTTAATGTACATGTTTCATATTACGTCCATTCAGTTAAATGAACACTAGAAAAAGTGAAGTTTATCTATCCACTTTCTTGTTGTTATTGTTTCAGGGTTTCAACATTATGGAAGATCTTATAGTGGGTTCATAAACTCAAGCTTTAATAACCAGACGTCAAACTGAAACAGAAGAAGAGTTAAAATTCTGGTGCTTTTAAAAAATAGCTTCTTCAACCTAGTATTGCCTTTTACACAAGAAATTCTTTCAGATTTTGCATAAATGGCTCTTCAAAGAAGAACTGAACTTTCAAATGAGAACAGCTGTCAGCATGCCAACTGGAACTTGCTACACTTTTCTTTTATGAGTAGACTTTCCCATGTCTTGCCTAGTTCATCACTATTCCACTCAACGGGCCACACTGCTGGCCCAAAGTTCAAATCAACATATCAGTTTACCTTGTTGCAGGTAGCCTGAGTAAACTTAATGTTAGTTAGCGTCAAACCTCTCATTAGCCTCTATGACATGCAGCCGAATTCCTTTTGGAACATACCGACTACTCAAGTAGGCAAACCCGTAGAATAACTACTGTACACTGAGCGTTCACTGTAAATTAAAAAGATCTGTTTCAGCCCCAAAGTGTCAATTCAGCCCTGCAGGCCAAAGTCTGATTCAGCCCTTCTTGGAGCCATTTGAGCACAATTTAGGCCAAAAAAGCTCTATCAAAAGGCTATTCCAGCCCACGGTAGGGCCCATTTCAGCCCTGGGACCAAATCAGCCCTAGCTAACTGGACTGTATTGGCCGTGATTTAAGGGAGCCAAATTAGACCCAAAAATAGGACTGTATTTTACTCACCGAAACGGCCCTGTTTTTAGGGCTAAAACAGATCTTTCTGATTTAGAGTGTTATGAGCGAAATTGATAATATATACCCCGAAAGCAAAAAGTATTCGAAGAATAGTTAAGTTATGAAGGTCTATAAAAAATGTCTACAAAAAATTGGCAAGCATGATAGTACGTGTAATAGAGGTATCACTTCGAGGCCTTCCCATACTTTTTTTTTGTTGTTTTGTTTTTTTTGTTTACGTCGTCCGACAAACCCGCGCAACGCTTGCCATTTTCTATACAAAAGGGAACGACGTAGTTCAACCTTTTTTTATTTCTTCAATTCTTTTAATCTGAAAAAATCAATGAGCATTGTAATAGCATTTCCAGGCATAGATGTTTCGGTGGTATATCCTCTTTCCTTTTTACTTTCCAGGAAAGTTCTCGTTCCGGGAAGCCTATAGTTTATAAGCTCCCGGCTTCTCTATAGGCCTCCTTCCCATTACCGCTTTAAACATTTGATGTTGTTAATAATTTAGTTAGAATATTGTGTATTATCTTCAATATATTATAAATTTCTGTATACTGTTGTTGTATTTCTGGTTAATGGCAAAAATAAATGAGTGAATGAATGAATGAAATCGACCATCGTATAATTTTCTACCATATTCTACCATACTGAGTTCGTGTTGGTTTGGTAGTAACCATGTGTTGTGTCTACAGGTTCCTCGGCAATGATGCTGGGGTTTCAGGCCTCCTATTCTCAGAATTCTTGTGATTTCGATAAACGTTTTTTTTTTTTTTTTTTTTTCATCCGACCAACCGACTGAAAAAAAGGAAACGCATTCGACGCTAAACGAAGAAAAAGGGGACGGCCTGACAGAGGTAAAAAAAAAACACTGTATTCGTGTCAGCAGAAAGTCGGTCTTTGCAATCTCGCCACTTTGTCGAAAGTGGCTGCCTTTGGATACATGTTCTTAATTTTCCTAAGTGTTGATGTTAAAAATAGAGCGAGGGACATTTATGAAGTAACACTCACTAAAAAGCATGACACTGAAAAACGAGAAAGATTTAATAAGCACTGAGAAAATATTTTTTATTGTGCAATTATGAATTTTCTCCAAAAAGGACAAATTATGTTCCCCCTTTTCCCTCTCTTTCTAACTCCGTTGCTACAAGTCTTCATTGGTTATCATTGCATTTCGCTTTTTGTTCACATTTCGGGACAGACAACTTCACTTAACGCTATATAGCCTCCCTTGCAACCAGCCCATGCATTGTCAAAACCATGGTTATAAAGTAGTCCACGGACTTCACCCAAGCCATAGAGAAACGTGTATAGTTGGAAATTAAAATCCGTGGGCAGGATTGTTCAAAGCTATGTTAGGATATGAAAGCTTAATAAGCAAATTCAGTTTAGTTCTTCTTGTCTACAATTTGATGGGTGGATGTTCCAAAAAGAGTGGCGAAAAATATCAGAGAAAGTGCTTTTGAACAAACGAAAATGAAAGCCGGATTAAAAATTTAACCCCGGGTTAGCGATAAACGGTCTTTAAACAACTGGGCCCAGCTGTCTCAACTACAACCTCTTGACAATAGTTTTTCCCTTCTCTTGTCGTGCCAGTATAAGCGGATAAGAGAAATGCATAAGTACTCCCTGGAAAGGAAATTCCACTTTCGGGAAGGAAAAGCTTGATTTTCGCGGTATTCCGGTGCATGAGTAATTAGGTGATACGATCTCCCGTTATCCACTACCAGTACCCCACCCCGTCTCTGGTTTTCCTCCTCACAGTCTCTGAGCCAACCCCGCAATCTGAACAACTAGAACAGGGTTCTCATACACATCTGCAATAAACCTGCATTTACATTGCGCCGTTTGTTTAATGCGAAACCCTCAATGGTCTAAGCTCTTTAAAACCTTTTTCCTCCCTCACAAAGCACAAGCAACTTATTTGTGTTCCTTCGTTTATTTCTTTATTACATTTTACTTTAAGAGTATTGGATATTATCAGGAGATAAAATTGCGAATTATTACAAACAGAGAAAAATTAAGATTCCCTCCGGTTAGGAAATCTGATATCTGCTCCATTTCAGTGGGCGGTTGGCAGAACTACACAGCGCAACCATGCGCTTGTTTGACGTCATCAATGAACTTTTGCACGGTACCACTGCCAGCGACAGTGTTGTAATGCTTCTTCCAGTACTGTGCCTGCGATGGCAGGTCAGTTGGGATAGGAGGAGAAAGCCTGGCGAGAAAGAGCCGAGAAGCCAAACCAGAGTACAGCGGCTTTTCCAAGTCTTGCCAACTTGTTTGGGTCCAATCAATGCCGAGCTTTGCCTTGATTTGGTCCCAATACTTTTTCAGGCCTGTCTGAATGACGGTCTCGCGGTAACCCACCTCATCAACCTTGAGTATCAATAAAACAAAGAATATCAAGTATTGCCTTCAATAGTTAATTATCGCCCCGTGTAAGAGAATCTAAGACAGTCTTGGACCTAGATTCCACGCCGTGGATTCCGGATTACAGGCATTGGATTTCAGTCTTTGTCAGTGGAACTTAGATTCCGGATTACAATCGTTACTCGGATTCCGGATTCCTTGGGATGTATTGCGGATTCCAAAGCCCAGGAATTTCGCATTCCACAAGCAAAACTTTCCCGGATTCTGGATCAAAAGCAAACATTTTCGGGATTCCAGAAACTGGATTCCCTTAAGGTGATGTTACAGCGCAACACAGCGTTGCAACATTGTTGGGACATTGAATCGAATGGTTGCAACGTTGTTCCATCATTGCAACGCTGGTGTTGCGCTCAAAATCGTCCTTGCGAATTGTCTCGTGTAATATCACCTTTACACGGAGCGATGATTACAAGAAAAAACTAAATAGTCAATTCAGTTTGATAAGGAATTTGAGCGTGCGATAACGAGAGAAAACTCATGTCGCTTTTGTCTTTGCTGTTTTTTTTATCATAATTTATTTGAAAGAGTCCGCTTACCTGCCATATGCCGCCATAGTAACCACTCCTGTAGGTATTAGGATCCTCCCCATATTTGGACTCTACCCAGGCCACGCGGCAGAGAAACTTGTGATCGTTAGGGAAAATCCCTAATCCATTTATGGTGTCTACGACGTCCTTCACAACGCCTGCTCCTTTTCCTTTCGGTGTGTAAGCCATGCTTTGCAGTAAAGATGAACTGGGGAGAAACTGGAAAGAAATGACTGAGGGTATATATCATGCAGGCATAATTTAAAGCCTGATAACATAGAAAACTGTCAATAATTATTTGGATTTTGCCTGACGCTGTGAAATTGACCAGGATCTTCAGTTGGAATTCTTTTTGGCAAAAGATTATGTACAACACTGTAGAGCCTGAAGGTCGATCGTCAGTTTAGGTCATTTTAAACAGGGACGCCCAACGTCACTTTTCGGAAAATATCGGTTCGGAAGACGATTTGAGATCTAGAATTTGTCGGAACATTTGTTGTAGAATTTCTTGCTTGCCTGCCTCTCCTAGGATTTTCGAACATCTATAAAAAGGTATAATTGCCAGCTAGGAAATCCGAACAGATGAAAAAAAATTTAGGGTATAAAAATATGCGTATATCTACCGTTTAAATACTAAAATATGTTTAACAATGCTATGTTTAAGTGGTTTGAACTATATTCTCGTGGGGTGCCCTTGTTTAAATCAGTAATCGGCTGCTGGTAACTGATAATATTATTGAATCAAACATCTTCTTTTGACCTTTATTAGCTCCTTCAGTTCCGAGAATCTCTATTGATTATACGTCAGACAAATGACGACGTTTTTTGTGACAAATAAGAATGAGAAATAACTTTTTTTTTTTGTTTGTTTATGGTATGATGAGAATTGTAAATGATGATTATGTTGCACAATGTCTTAGGGGAAAAGTTCGTGAAAAGTGAAAGTACACTGATTGTATACCGATTGTCTAAAGGACCTAACCGGAAGTGATGTTGCAACGCAGTTTACCGTTTTGAGTTTTTCTGGTTGAAAGTCTTTCGTTTGCAAGATCAAATTAAGAGTGCTTTGAAAATGCCACTTAGTAGGTCAAATGATATAAAACTATTTTTTAAATGCGCTTCGTCTTGTCTGCCAACTCAGCGCTGAAAATACAAAGCTGCTGATGAATTGCGATTTTTACGATAAAACTGATTCTAAATTTACCCCAGCAAAAAGTTAACGCGACTGACCAAAAGAAATTCACCTATAACTTGCTGTGATTCGGACATTCTCACCAAACCTCAACGCCTCAAGAAGAATTAAACTGCAGGTCAGCAATAACCATGATATTAAAAACAATACTGAAAAGATGCCAGCTGCTTTAAGTTTACCTCAGAATTTTCTTGCAGCGTGGAACTCAGTAGGTCAGTAAAAATACTTACTTCGCTCCAGCAAAATGTTAGCGTGACTGACCAAAAGAAATCCGCTTATGACTTGCGGTGATTCGGACACTCTCACCAAACCTCAACGCTTCAACAAGAATTAAATATCCCCGATCAGCAACAACAATGACAAAAACAATAATAGAATTTTCTTGCAGTGTGGAATACTAGGTCTGCTGAGTAAAAATACTTACTTCGGCTAATTCAACTTTCCTCTTGACTGTGTTCCAACTGAACTGCGCCGAAAATAATCTCCTTCGCTTCTGGGTTCATGTTTTTGACTACCGCGTTTGATACGCGTCATTTGCTACAATTAGACTTCTGCGGGAGATAAGGTGATTGGCCAGTTCAGTGGGGTGATTGGAATATTTGTTTCCGCTTCAAATCCATGAAGAGAAAGGAAAAACTAACTTCAATACAAGAAAGGGTAAACGAAGGAAAACATGTCATGTTGAAGACCTCCTTGTATAATTGCGGCGTTAGCATACAGTTCAGTATGCAGATGTAATCTCCTGAAATACTCCATTGCAATTGTACATTTAGTAGCCTGTTTCTTTTCCTTAAAACTGAAAGTGCTTACGAAGCATGAGATAGGGGAAATACTAAAATTGAAACTGATTTTAATAGTAAAGACACTGGAATAAGTAATACTTATAACTACTGGCATATGTCTAAGCCGAGGTGATATTCCGTGCATATAAGCAGATTAGGTGGCTTTTTAAAAGCGATATATATTGAAAGCCTGTAAAAATAGCACATAGGATTCCTGAAATCTCTCGACCCACTTGCATCGTCAGAAGAGAAGGTAGTTTTAGGTTTCTTTAGATAGACGTTTACGATCAGCTTGGCAGATGTATGTTCATTTTCAGGAGGAATAAACAAATTTTGCAGATTTCTTGGACGTACAGTATAAAGACCAAACGATTTTTTTGGGGGGAAGGGTGGGGGAGAAAGGGATTGGGGGAGATATTCGTCCACGCAAGTACGTTTTGACAGGTCCCAGTCAAATTATGTTCAGAAAACGCCTTGAACCTTACAAATTTTTCGAACAGCAATACAAAACATGATTCATTTAAGGTTTAGAGATACTTTTCACTCTACGCTGCACAGCCGCTTGCTCGTCTTACATGTATAAGGTAATGATGTCGCACAATATTTTATGGAAGTTCGTGAAAGTGAAGGGAGGACTTCTACTATACCCTGATCGTCTAAAGAACCTTACCAGAAAATATGTTGCAACGCCTACCGTTTTGAGTTTTTCTGGTTGAATTCTTTCGTTTGCAAGGGATACATCAAATTAAAAGAGCTTTTAAAATGCCACTTAGTATCAGGAACTTAATAGGTCAAATGATATAAAACTATTTTTTAAATGAGCTTCGTCTTGTCGACTGCCAACTCAGCGCTGAAATTACAAAGCTGAATGCATTACAATATTTACAAAAAAACTGATTCGAAATTTGCTCCAGCAAAATGTAAGCGTGACTGACCAAAAGAAATCCGCTTATGACTTGCGGTGATTCGGACACTCTCACCAAACCTCAACGCTTCAACAAGAATTAAATATCCCCGATCAGCAACAACAATGACAAAAACAATAATAGAATTTTCTTGCAGTGTGGAATACTAGGTCTGCTGAGTAAAAATACTTACTTCGGCTAATTCAACTTTCCTCTTGACTGTGTTCCAACTGAACTGGGGTGCGCCGAAAATAATCTCCTTCGCTTCTGGGTTTAGGTTTTGACTATCGTGTTCAATTAATACACGTCATTCGCTGTGGGAATAGGGTGATTGGCCAGTTCAGTGGGGTGATTGGAATGTTTGTTTCCGCTTTATTTCCAGGACGAGAAAGGGAAACTATAAACCTCAATACAAGAAAGGGTAAACGAAGGAAAACGTACTGGATAATTGCGTTGTTAGCATGCAGTTAATCAGTGTGCAAATGTAATCTCCTAAATACTCCCTTGGGCATTTAGTAGCCTGTTTCTTTTCCTAAAACTGAAAGTGCTTATGAAGCATGGGATACGGGGATTATTAATATTGAAACTGATTTTAATAGTTATGACACTGGAATAAGTAATACATATAAAGATTGGCATATGTCTACACCGAAGTGATATTCCGTACATACAAGCTGATTAGGTGGCTTTTTAAAAGCCATATGGAAAGCCTGTAAAAATAGCATATAGGATTCAGATTTCTCGACCCACTTGCATCGTCAGAAGAGAAGGTAGTTTTAAGGTTTTTTAGATAGATCTTTACGATCAGCTCTGCTCATGGATTTTCATTTTCATGAGGAATAAACAAATACCGCAGATGTCCATTTTTTTTAAGGGGGGGTGGGAGAGGGGCGGGGGGGGGAGGGATTGGGGACCACGCACTTACGTGTTGACAGGTCCCAGTAAAATTACGCTCAGCTTCCTTTGTTCAAGCGATTTTTTCTTATTACAATTCTACAATGAGCTGTGTTAAACTAAGCCACTATGAAATGCATACTCAAATCCTTTAATGGCGGGTCTTTTTAAAAAAACCTTGAACTTTACAAATCTTGCGAACAGCAATACAAAACATGACTCATCTAAGGTTTAGAGACCCTTTTCACTCTACGCTGAACAGCCACTTGCTCGTCTCACATCATTAATAAATTTCGTAACTGTTCCCTTTCCAGCCACTGTATTGTAGTATTTCTTCCAGTACCAGCCTTGCGATTGCAGGTTAGAGGGAATCTCAGCGGGAATCCTGACAAGATACAAACGCGCAGCCAGCCCAGAATACAGCGGTTTCACCAAGTCTTGCCACTTGGTCTTGGTCCAGTCTATTCCGAGTTTGGCCTTGATTTGAGACCAGTATCTCCTCAAACGAGCGTTTCTGACTGTCTCCAGATGACCAATTCTGTCAACCTATTAAACAATTGCAATACTGAACGAGACTGACAGGGCTGTTTGGTCTAGACTGACCACCAGGATAATTCGTGCCTGCATCTGACTCGTCATCAGTCGTCTTCGAGCGTAACGCACACTGGGGGAGAAGGGGGTGATCGGAAGGGAGAAGAGAGGATGACTCTCTCCGTCGCTTTCCTCCTTCCCATCACATCTTGCGCGCCACAAGAGAGAGGTTGTGAGAGACGACTGGGGACGGGTTAGGTTAGGCCAAGATACAAAAAATCCAGAAAAATGGCCAAAAAATCTATCCGGAAATTCTCAAAAAAAGTGTCTATAAATCCCAATTTTATTTCTAAAAATATCGAAATTTATTCTAAAAAAACTCGATTTTTCCCAATGTTTTTTCGACATAATCACATAATATGCATTCAATGCGGAATTCGTGTGACCTGTGAAATTTGACCACAGGTCTTGTTGCCAAATTGAATGCAAACACCTTCAAACTGATTCTAAATGATAATTTATTTACTAGACAATGTAAGTGGTTTGTCTCGATAATATATTAATTTTTCAAACAAGCACTTCGTAATGTAAAGTTCGACATTTCATCAGTGGCATAACCGAGGCCAAAATTATGACAACCGTAGAATTTCTAAACACTATCGTCTAAAAATCCTAAAATTTTCTAAAAATCCCGTTTGACTCTAAAAATCCGGATTTTTGTATCTCGGCCTAAGACGAGTCAGTGTCTGCATCTTTTAAATATGGCCCGAGGCGTCGGGAGGGGAGGAGAATTACTCAACAAAATCTTATATGGGAAGGCTCTGCCCCGAGGTCCAACTACTTACCCTCTTTAATATACCATTTTTGAAAGTAAAGGTACCCCTTTTGTTTACCTTCTGTTGACAATTAGCCGTACCTCTTTCACATACCTAGATTACAACGTTGCATTCCCTTTAACAGCTAACAATATAAATGCACTCGTCTGTCTTTAAAATATGAATAAACAGAACGTCTCCTCGACTTTTTCTCAGCTACTATAAATTAATGTATTTGTTAACTATGGGACTTTTTACAGAACTAAAGGACAGATACTTTCCGTAGTGTACCCATAACAAAAATCGGTCCTCCCTTTTTATATCCCTGAAGCATGAAAATGGTACCCTTTTCGGGCACAACTATCTAGTTTGGAATGCTTTTGAGGTTCTGCCATATAGTGGAATATGAGGGGGAATTAAGGCGGCATTCTGTCTTTGTGTTTCTTTTTGGGGGGGGGGGGGAATACCCTTACAACAGTTTGGACAATCTAGTGGACATTCTGGTGATATGTACATTGAACTGCCACATCATATTTTGATTTTTAACAACCCGCAAATCCAATATTTTCTAATTTTGCAAACTTTTAAATACCCCCATTTCCTTAGTTTTTATACATTAAAAACATTCAAAAAATCATCCAAAAATTCTCTACATTAACTATTCATGTAATATAATGTAATGTAATGTCGTTGATTAGAGGACAACAAGACGCTCCCTCGTTACATTTTATATTAACATGTTTAACAGTAAGCTCGGACTTCTGCATACAGGGGCGCCTGTGGCAGTCGCTATCAGTCCATTTATGAGTTTACTGTAACCTACCCACAGCCCATGATATGAATGATGCCTGATGCGTGATGCCTGATGCGTGATACGTGATGCTTGAGAGGAAGACCACACCACCGGGGAAGCTACCCGTAATCGTTTCGAACAGTAGTATTGGTTCTTTTACATCCCCTTCGATTTGACTGATAAAAGAAGGATGAAGGAGACTTAAGGCCAACGGCTTAACGTCACCGCCCAATGACGCGATCATCTGAACTGAGACAAGGTCTCAAATCACCGCCAGCATGATCTCACCAGTTTCAAAGACCCTGGTTGTTGGTCCGGCCTGGGTTTGAATCTACGACTCCGGCCCCTCGCCAGTCAGACCGGTGCTCTCCCAACTGAGCTAATAAATGGTAAATGAAATTCCACTTCAGACGTTTGTTCTAGTTGTAATCTAGGCCTGGTGACTGTAGCCTGCGTAGCAAGCGTTTCCAATCGAGTTGTTCCTTCGTTCCCCTCCCCCTCCCCCGTCATTCATTTTTTTTTGCTCTTGTCCCAGCTTTCTAGGCGAACCTCGCGAGGAAACGCTTGCTACGCAGGCTATGGTGACTGTTTCAATAGGCCTTTTGCAGGACGAAGTCACGTGCTTGGATACAACTTAGCTGACGGCTCGCTGGATGGCAAGCTGTCCAGGCGATCATTCCTATCGAAGAGCTTTGAGTGTGATCCAGCGATCATTCAGATCACTGAAATTAAAGTGGAGTGCAATCCCAGGGGGGTGCTTCCTAGTGATAGGCTAATGGGGATGTGCCGCTGGATGGGGTCGCATTTTCACGGCTGGATCGACTATAATGGGGTTGCATTTTCGTTAGAGTTACTAGAATGGGATCGCACATTTTCGAGATTTGGAGGATGAGAAAATTCGGGTAGGTAGAGATTTTAGAAATGGGAAGATTTTTACTTCATTAAGTTTAACCAATGTGTTAATTCATTTCAAGATGACGTAGTTAAAAGGATTTATAAAGTAGATGCATGAACAGAAAGTTACTAAGTTGGGATCGCGAAAATTACACTTTCCCAAAAGTGATTGAGATGGGGTCTATATTTGGCCACAGAATAGCCTATAATAGGGTAGGGCATTCAGAGGCACATATACCAAGCAAAAATTAACCCAAGTAACTTCCCGCGGGCGTGCAATCAGGTGAAGCCCTCCTCTCCTTCCTAGTTTAATTCAAACGCAGTCCAGTCATTTCTGTTAATATTCAATAGAATAATCAAACTAGGAATGCTTGCCCGATCGCATTCAGTTCAAAGCTTTGAGATCGGAATTAACGCTCGGATATATGGCTTGCCATTCAGCTAGCCGTCGCTGAGTGATAGCCAGGCACGTGATCAAGTTCTGTAAAGGGCTATTTGTTTCTAGTTCCTAACCTGCCAAATACCGCCATAGTAACCACGCCTGTATGTACCACGTGCCAATCCGTATCTCGACTCGACCCAGGCCACACGGCAGAGGAACTTTTTATCATTTGGAAAAATTCCCAGGCTGTTTATGGTGTCCACAACATCCTTAACAACAGCCGCTCCTTTCCTATAAGCCACGATACTTGAGCAAGCCATACTTCCCACGAGAAATTGACCGGCCAGACTGGCTATAACAAGCACTTTCAACCACATGTTGGGTTAAAACTAGAAAAACATAGCACACGTCATCAATATTTATAGCCTGCGCCACGGACGAAACTAAACTCTTGTTAAGTCTGTCTGCGAAACAGCGCTATAGTCCTTATTCTGGGCCCTCTCCTGTGTACCAGGATTCGAGTATGCGCTATGATTGGCCTGAAAAAAAAAAGCCATTGTCGATTTTGTTGATTTCGTTGGGAGCCTTTCGGCGCTGATTTGCAGATGTTACTAACCGGGGTCAAGAGCCATAATACATTACGTTTGCGACGCAGGCTACAATTTTTACAGAATGGAGATAGACTGAAACTGGCAAATTTCCCTGATTTGTATGCCTCCAGAGTCAGTAAGATCGAGGGAAACACCTTCAGCTTTCGGAATAATATCTGCCTTCGTCAAGAGCCATATTAGAACCTGTCTTATGATGGCTCTTGCCTAAATACTTACATAATAATTTCCTGAGATTTACTTAGTCAGGGGTCATTTTTGCACCACTGATCCTCCTAAGTATAGAGTTTTCTGGGGGACACATTTGTTGATATTCATGCTAAGACGGTTCATCCGCGGCGAATTCAGAAAATGTCCAGCGGATCAATATTCTACACACAGCTAGAAGCTTACAGGGCGTTTCGTACCCACGGACGTTTCGTACCCAGACGATTCGTACCCAAAGTTGAGATGATTCGTACCCAACGCTAAGATGATTCGTACCCATGCAATAACCAAGTCTTTATGTTGTAAACAGTGTGTTTTCATAGTTTAAGTTAAGGCTTTCACTAAAACAAAGGATCGAAACCGCAGAACTAACCACAAGACAGGACGGACAGGTGGAGATTGTGGGATGAAGCAAATGTGTTTGTTTACGTCCGAATTTGCTACATGTCTGAACGACGACTAATCGAAGACTATTTGAAGAGCGAAAGCATAAGAAGAATACGAAAAGGTTAGTGACACAAGCCCCGCCAAACACAAAATTAAAGAAAAAGTGACGTGAAAGAGTGACTTACAGAATTTGCATGTTTGTGAAAAGTACAGTAATATATTTTAAAGGAAATCCTTGAACTGATACTTATTACAAGCGGGTACGAATCATCTCAACTTTGGGTACGAATCGTCTGGGTACGAAACGTCCGTGGGTACGAAACGTCGAGATTATAGTTTCAAGAGAAAATTGAGCCAATGATCCAACTTAAGCCCTAGTGCATTGGAGTTACCCAACGAAACTGAAGTTTTTCTGTTGCTGTATCAGAGATCACAAAACGGGATACATCTGATGACAGGGTGGTGTAGCTTTGCTTATTGATACACCGCTCATCATTTGGTCCTCTTTGCACGAAGTTTAATTTTTTGAGACAACCTCTTTCATTGACTTCCCGAAAGAACTGCATGCGATGCAGTGAAAGATTCACTGCAATATATTATCGTCGGCCTCGCAGCATTGCTTACGCCGACTTTTGTTTTTTTAATTGTTGGATACGAAGCCCAATTCTACGAAATGAATAAAGGTTTCGTTGCCACTAATTTTAGCGGAATGTATGATGCAGAAAAAACGTACGGTTCTCGTATTTCTTTCTTCCTGAATGCACAGAAACCGATATAAACGCTGAAAGGGTGCTTGTACGGATTTATAGACAAACGTAATATTTTCCAAAAGTAGGAAGTAAGAATACCGCTGGAATGCAATCGGGCATTTAATATCTCGAAATATCCTTTCACTTAAAAGTCTTTTAATGTAAAAAAATGTAGAGATTCAGTCAAAAATACTTTTTTTGCACTACCCTCAGTATCGCGCTGAACCTGAGGTTAATAATTATTTAATCGAGGCGCTCAAAAGCACACTAGCTTATCGTGATCAAATTGCAGATCAATAGAGAAACAGGCTACCGGCGAGCTGGTAAAATTTCTATAAACCATATCACAGAGTTCCAGTAGTATTTGCTGATATAAAATAGGGGTAAAAAAGAGATCAGATGACGAGCAAAAGCAAAGATGAATAAAATGCTCCAAAATATTAAAAATTACATCGATACTAAATAAAATCCATCTTTTTTAAATTAAAAAATAAGAAAATGCTCACCGGCATGCAATAATGTTCCTTCCTGAACAGCTAGGCGATAATGCACTCGCTTGGGCAAGGCTTGGGTTTTCAAGCAAACCTCGTATTTTAGAGAAATTAGATACAATACCTATCAAGGTTAGTATTAGCTTCAGTTTGATGGATGATATCATCACTTTCGCAGCCAACCGTAACAATTGTTTCTTCAAACGAAACTGAACAGCTTGTTAAGCGGCTTCATCGAGTATTACGTCAGAGACTTATTTTTAGGGCCTCTTGTGCAACTAATACCGGAATTAAATTCTTGCTTGTCAAAAGGAATATCTTTAAGTAACATTTTAAATTAAAAGTGTAAATGTTTAGACCGTAATTTCCTACAATTTTAACCCACATCATAATAGACGTTTATTAGCAAAATTGCAAGCACAAATTAAAGCAGATAAGAGTGGTGCTCTTAACTAATATATCTTGCAGTTTCGTACCTGGCACTTTGGCTACTAACTGTTGTGTTGTCATGTTTTCAATTCGAGTGTTGGTTCAAGTAAAATGAAAGCTTGTAGCTTTTTTCGGGCTAATCAGAACAGGCGAAGACAATATTGAACCAATCAGAGCGTTAATGACGGAAATAGATGCCAAAGCTAGCGCGGGAAATAACGCGGCACGATTGAAGAAGGCATCGGGATTGTTTTCAACCAGTTCACTTTATTTGTTATTGGTTAAGGCAGGCACGGCAAGGTTTTGATCAGCCACTCATGTTTAAGGGGAAGTAAAACAAAACGAAAGAAAGCAAAAATTATTAACTTTGCCATTTTATTGAAAATCATCCTAAAATAACGGTGGCCACCTCGGTTTGATCGGAAGTGACGAGTTGACTTCGACTCGTCCTGGAGATATCAGAAATCCTTCCATGCGTGTAACCCTACAGTGCTATTATAAATGATTATTTAAATTTATCATTAATGATATTACACAGCGGGCTCGAAGATATGAATTTTATTTGCGACTGCCAAAGTTCAATATTTTACGAATAAGCACAGTGACTGAGTGGAATATTATTTCTACTACAATAAATTAAAATTCTTCAAGCTGCCATGAATTTGTTTTTCATTCGGATAGACAAAAAGAAATCGTTAGTTCAGTTCAAAGTTGATTTTTCATTCACTGGGCCAGTATGCACAAAGGCGAAGCTACAAGAGTTATAACTTGTAAACTTGTTTACTCTTGATACTACTCGCTTAATTTTTAAGTAACCAACGACTGTCGATCGAAGGAACTTTTTCATTCACATTTATTTGGGGAAGAACTTGATAGAATGTCCATTACAAGAGGGTCTCAATGGGGTTAACCGATAGGCGTAAAACGGCCAAAAATTTAGTCGATAGCCGTAAAAATTGAAAAATTTTAACCGTTAGCCGTAAACAGAGTAAAAGAGAGTTAACCGTAAAAGAAACTGCTCCCTAGATTTGCTACTTTTAAGGGAGGTACTAAACTCACTTATAGTTGCGTTTTTTATTTCCGGGCTAGTGTGACTCCGTGCCCACGTTAGGCGAAGCCCCTTTTACGTGTCGACCAAGACCTAGGCTCCATTTCCGCCACTCTCTCGGGGAACTAATTTTTTCCATAGCGAAAGTGTGGTTTCTTGCTAGGGATTAATATTTTCGATTTTCAGGAGGTCGTGCCCTCGAAACACTAGTGAAACAACACGCAGAGATGTCACTGTTTGTAAAACACGTTGCCGATGAACAACATTTCCCTGTTTTTCTCTGACGCTACGGTAGACATTGCCATGCCTAGTCCCTGTGCGGCGTCAATCTCGGTCAAGGCATTTCCGTCGCGAACTCGCTAGGACCACGTGACCCGAAACGCATTAGCCGCGCGGAATAATGAGGCCTACGGACAAGGCAACGGCAGACAGTCGTTCCGTACAGTCCTTCGCTATCATTAAAAACACTGGACACGGGAATTTTGTCATTGGCCGTTTTCACGCTAGAGCTAGCAATGGATTATCCGTCTGAGACTAGCCTGTGTATAGTCGCGCCCTCCCCACAGACACCCCTTCTCCGATTTTTTCTGAGGGGAGGGGGCGGCTGTACACAGGCTATCTGGAACGGATAATCCCGTCTTCAAACTGTCCGTCGAAATTGACGGTTAAAGTCAAGCGGATTGTTCATTCAAAATTAAAACTATTCCATTTTCAAATTAAGAAGTATTACCTATCGGACGCGAATCATTAAACGGATAACTCATGTCACACAAATAATCCGTCTAATGAAAAAGGCCATTTCTGTTATAATAAATGCCACGCCCCGGCCTTGAGTTGGGCGTTTGCGTGTCCGCTTTTGCTTTTTCACAAAGATTATTTTCAAAATGACTATTGACATTTCTATGTGTAAAATAATATTAGAAGTGAAATACTTTATAAAAAGTATGATCTATCAAATGTTAAAATTTTTCAAAAGAATAACTTG